AGCCTGAGCCTGTGTATCTTAGCTAGGCTAATTATCAATTGCTTGGCAAAGATGCAAACATACCATAATTCTGTGGCACTTTTGCCTTACCCTGTAATGTCAGCAATCAAGGATGACCACAAGAAGCATGCCAGGCATTTCCATTCAGCTGCTAAATCTGAACAATTTTGCTTACAGAAAGTCTGCCAGTTATAAAAATAACTTCATTCCAGTTGGTTAGTGGCAGGGTGAGGGAGTCAACAGGACATCAGTACTGCTGTCCACACAGAAACATCATGCTTTTGCCAAGAACATTTAAAAAAAATCTGGATAACACATGAGGAACACCTACAATTTTCTGTGCACAACCCACTGAATATATTGCTTCAGCTGATCTGAATTATATCCTGCATTTGCAGATTTATTTCAAAGAGCATTTATAAATACAAGAAGAAAAACCCGAAGTGAGAGTCATAATTTCCATAGTCTATCCTCTGTGAATAAAGGCTATTGCTTCTTTTGAAGACAGAAGAGATCACAGTGCTCATACCAATAATATATGAAAGTTAGCATCCAGCTCAGGTCAGATCAGAACACGTGCTAAAGCTTGTCAAACTTTTCAAATTGGCAGCACATTTCAATTTCTGTAAAGCCCACGGCTTCCTAAAGCAATGGCAGTATCTAGTCACAGACACTCAAATGTCAAACTTGCCACAAATGACTATATTGGGACAACTGTAATAATACCTGGCTCTATCTGATGTCTCTATCCTTATCACTCTAGTTATTCAGTGTAACAATTAATAGTACAACAAAGTCAGAAGAGTACTGAGGATGGGCTGGTGTATTAAAAAAAAAAAAAAAAAAAAAGCATGTTTAACTGTTAAAGCTTAAGGGCTACCCCTTAAATTGTGACCAGAGCAAAGGTGTGTGGTCCATACATTTGCTGATCAAACTTGGGCAGAGGGACCTTCACATGACATCTCTTTTAGCTGTCTGAAGTTTTGAAGTACATCATGTAAGGTCCTCAACTATCATTTTACAGGCTTACATGGCAAGTTTGTACAAGGACGCCCAGTTCATCCAAGTAGATCTTTTCCCAGGCCACAGACTATCCCATCATATTCACGCTGCATTGTACCAGAGCCTTTTCAAGGCCAGCTCGCGTAAGTATTGCACTTCTCTGTGCAGCCAGATTAGGGTTGAACTATTTGTACCTGGTCTGCCTAAGAGCACAGAATTAAAAATGAATTTCTGCACTTTACTATCTACAGAATTTACATGGACATCTACATGGAAAATGGCTTGAACTTACATTATAAGTAAAGACAGCCTTCCAAATGTTTTACCCATATGTCTTCTGAACAAAATAGAAAATGAAGAAAAATGCATGCAAGATGGAGATTAAATTACAAGAGAAAAAGACACAGGAAGGTCAGAAAGATTAATGGTGAAAATCTAGTACCTTTTTTTTTCTTTTCTTAACTGCTGATATTAATTACTGTTCACACTCACCGAATCTGTGAACATACTAAAAAATGCTACTAGAATCTGTGAACATACTACAAAACGTTCTCCTTCACACTTTAAATAAATTAGAACATAGTTCTCTGCCAAAAATTCTGGGGTCACTGTATGAGGCAAAGGTCTCAGTCATGACCTCCAGCACAATACAGCTAAATTGAACTTGGCTAGCTGATGTGAAACAGAGCTTCAAAAAAACATGAGCTTCAACAAAGTCATGATAAATGCTTCTCAGAACTCAACTAAAGGACAATCCTGGACCATCCAGTATGTCCAGTCTGAGGAAATTTACCATCCATTAACAGTTTTCCTACAGGCACAATATTTCTTCTTTGAACATGGTGCCTTATGATAGTTATTGGAGACTGGGAATAAATGTACCTTCACCTTGATGATTTACTTTCCTTCCCAGTAAGTTCTGATATGACCTTCATCATTATCGTGCCACAGTGACTCACAGCAGAGCATTACAATGCAGCCAACATCTATCGCGTGCTTTGCTCTTTTTCTGAATGAATTTGGAGTCGTGTGCACGCATTTCAATCTCTTATTTTACATTCAACTGGTTGCTTATGATAATAACAGCAATGGTGCAGCTTGTGCACCAAACTAACAGCAGTTCCTGTTTTACAGTCCTGTATTAAGACCCTCCTGGTGCAGTTGCATGAATCACTATAGCAGTTCATCATAACCAAAAGCATCATATCCTGCACTCCAGCCCTGCCCTTTCTTTTCCATCCCAGTCATGTTAATGCACTCTTTCTCTTGCACCAAACTCTGATGTTCACCAGAGCCTTCACAGAGCTGATTCAGTTCATTAACCCAGGTGCAAACAATTCGCTTTTTTGTCACGTTAGTTTTCTTCTGGGCCAGTGAGTTGAATCCATTTTGCTCACTGCTGACAGGCACTAGACTTGCAGCTGGCAGCCAGGAGAAGGGAAGTAATGAAGATGGGGTGCAGGCTGTCCATGATCCAGAAAGAGACATCACCAGCAGTAACATGCTGCTTTACTTCAGCAATCTGACTCTGACCAAAGAAGGTTTCTTGGCAGCTGAGGAGCAAAACCTCTCCTCCTTGAGCTCTCAGCAGCTGCTCACAAACCCTTACTGCAGGCCATTAGGGATTCTGACAACCAACAGAGAGATTTTGAATCTAATCTAATACCCCATGGAAAGCCAAGGCAAAAAGTTTTGATGCACTCCCGAAAGCTGCCATCGCTGGAGAAATACACACTGCAGATTTCTGACTGTTTCCTAATGGATAACAGTTTTAAGCTATTTCATCACCTGCAACCAATTTGGAGAAAAAACACAAAAGAAACACAGTTCTGCACAGACAATTGAGTAGACACCAGAAAGGCACAAAGTTTGAGATACTCTTAATCCTGAAGGTCTTCCTCTTCCTACACATACTACAGGTTGCCTGCCTCTCGATCATTCCTGCTTCTTGCCAGCTTTCTACACAATTACTTCCCATCTGCTGCTTCTTCCTACAGAGACCTCCGTACATAACTCTACAGCTCCTACAGCCTACTCATTTTATAAAGCCTCTAAAAGCATTCTTCTGCCATACATGTTTACAAGAAATGAACTGCTAATAAATGTCTGAGAGTAAAAAAAAAGCTAACACTTAAATACGTCTAGTGTATTTAATATCACTCTTTCCCTCCTCTCCCATTCGCTGCACGCCAGGGCATAAATTTAAGCTGCACTGGAGCTCAATTCCTTTGACTTGTTTGGAAATCTCATTTTAAGGTGCAATGCTTTAATACACCGGAGGTTCACCTAATTCCATCCAGTTTATTTACAAGAAAAATCACACATCATTAAACCCAACTCCATGTGAGCTGGCACTCCCTTCCAACAATGAAAGTGATTTGTTACTTTTCCTCCAACAATAGCTAGGAGGGAAAGGTTCCTTTTCTACAGCTGTTTCTTGAAAACCTACTGGTCCACTACAATGACTGATAGAACTTTCAATAGAGTAGGTTGGACATCTACTCATCATGAATTGATCCAAGCCCTCGATAACCTGATAAAAGATGCAGTTGACTGCTTTGTAAAACAGCCAGGACTTCAAAGGCAGTGGATAGCATAGCGTTTAACCAGTCTTCTCAAAGGCAGAGTTAATATGCATAATTCATTTGCTCAGTGGTACTCATCTACATATTAGCCTTACACACAAAATCTAACCTGCATTACATACAAGGTTTCAGTTTAAACTTTGCTTCTCTTCTTACAGCGCTTTGCATCCCACATTGCTTGTAACTTCCTAGCCAAAGTAAATGAGTTCTATTAATATACAGCAGTTATAGCTTGTGCAAGCAGCTCCCTTGATACCTTTCTCTGCCACCACCACACCATCCGTGATACCATCAGGCCTAGGTAGAGTTACCATCCATAGCAGAAACTTTCCAAAAGCCACTCTTTACACCTTTCAACTCTGTAATGAATTGAAGAACCACTGCTGTGCAGGAAAAACCGCACTGGAAAATAAGCTCTGAAATTATAGAGGAGAAAATCAGGCAGGTCCCCCTAGGTGGTAAAACAGGTTATGGTTTCCTTCCAATAACAGTCACCATAGCCTTTGATATTCTATCTACTTTATCAATTTCGTGGAGTAGCAGCTGTGATAACACAGAACCCATCTCCTGCACTGCCCATCTCTGCACAGAGGGAAACCAGTGAGGACAGAGCAAACACTTGTTGGGAGCCTTCAGCTTGCTCAGCCAGGAGGCGAAAGACAAGTCAGCATCTGACCCAGGAGTCAGAGGTCAACCCTCTGGGGAGCCACCAAGCTGCTGGGTCCACTTGCAGCTAATCCCCAGTGAGTGCTTCTCCCCAAAGGATTTCTTTATTCCACTAGCTGAAAAAAAATAAAAATAAAAATAAGAGTTAACAAGCCCAGTAAAAATCCATGACTCAGGCAAGTCCTTTAGGATCAAGTGTTCTGAGGAGGGGGGGTGAAACCTAAACTAATCCAAGAGTCCAAAACATCTTTTGTCAAAGCCTTTTAAAACACAAAAACTACACTAGGGTCTCCTCGTTAGTTAGTTGCGATTACAGGGAAGGCATTTCTTTCTTTCTTAACTAAGAATCTTTTCTCGTCAACACAAACAATAGGTCCCATTGACGTGGTGCAGTGCTTTCTAATCCATTTGACTAGCTGGCTTTGTATATCCCTTATACATACTGTTGGAGGAGAAAGAAAGGCCTCTCCAGAGAAGAGCATCCATCTCCACAACGGAAATACCAGTTCAACTGCTGGATGGACTGCAGTGCTCTTGGGGAACAGATACAAACTTCTCTTTAATAAAAATATTTATAGTACATGGTTTTGAGTATCAAGCAGTGACTCACATAAGTTATAAATGATCCTTTCCTTTTTTTTTCCCCAGAAAAAATTATAAATGTCTTAGACATTAGTTCTGCCACCAGCTTTCAAACTTCGAAACACCAGCCATAAGCTAGCATGATGAAATCCACTCTAACATCAGTTAAACAAAAACACCAGTTTTTATTAGAATAAAAATAAAAGTACCAGAGAGGTCACTAAAATTTGGTAGACATCTCACAAATCAGCATGAGGACAAGGCAGGGCACACAGCAGAAAGAAGCAGAGGTAACGGGAGCAGTCTGGATGACCTGGGAACTCCATGCAACGTGAGTTCACAGTGCTTGTTCTCCTGAGACATTTCTGGAGTCAGGATGGGGACAGGTGCACCTTCACAGCCGTTGCCAACCCTTTTGGTGGTTTCCATCTTGAATCAGTGCTGATGCAACAAGTCAGGGCTGCAGAAGGCAAATGTCAACCTCCACCCTGCCCAGCCATGTGGCACAGTCCCTTTTCCCAGGGCACTAGCTCCCACATCCATTCTTCCTTTCAAACAGTGAGCTTCATTTATTGAAAAAGGAAAAAAAAAAAAGAAAGAAACAATAAGAAAACCATGCACCAGGTTCCTGTCATTTTAGAAGCTGAACTATTCCATAGGGCAATCCAACATGCACAGAAATCAGCACATGGTGATTGACAGTACCGCAGAAGCTGGAACCAACATAAGTGGTGGGGACAGGATCTTCCCCTTTTCACAGCACCATGACTCTGCTTTGACCCAATCTACATTATGACACCATGCCCCAGGAAATATCCTTACCTTCCTATTCCTTAGTCCAAGATCACTCTTTTCTCAAAGCAATGTCTCTTCAGCTGTTGACTTTCCCATCCTATCATCCACACACATTCTCATCATTCCCACTATTTTTTTTTTTTTTTTTTACATACCAACAACTCATTATAGCAAGCGTTGGACCCAACATAGCTCTTTTCGTCAAATATTAGTTCTCATCAAAAGGAAATCTAAAAGACGCTCATGGATTCATGTGCCATGAGTTTCCATACAGCACATTTCAAATCCAGAACTTCCACTGGAAGCTGGTACAGATCACTGAACACATCTGAAGCAAATTAATTTGTAATTTCACACCGGGCCACAAAGTTTTCCCCAAATATGCTCTTCCCACATAACCTCTACTCAGCTTTAATTGCCTGAATTTTTAATGGACTTTCCATATTATTCACATCAAATAACATAGCTGTTGTCTTGCTTGCCAACACCTCATTCTGGTTGCAGCTTGTGTCCTTTTAACCAAGTAAGTCATCTCTATTTTGCTTCACATTCTGGGAGCAGAAAATTCACCAAACCATTGTTCTCTTAGTAAAATCCAAGCCTTAATTTAAGGGATGCAGGTGTAAGCACTGCTTGGGGCAGCACCAGGAGGTGCTGGGCCAGGTAGCAGAAGGTGCAAGGATGAAACTTGGAGTCAACAGCTGTTTTTTTCAAGTGCAGTTGGAACCACACCGTGTTTTGGGCAACTTCTACAACACCATGCCTACATGGAAACATTTCTCAGGCTCCACTGTCACTAAGCCCCCAGCAGAACCAAAAGCAGAGCAGAGGCTTTGACAGCACACACTCATCAGGGCTGGCAAGAAAATAAAATATTAAGTTAATGAACAACTGACAACTCATGTGGTAACTCTGTTCTGTGTTTTCAAAGATACATGTACATCTACAATCAAAAAAAAAAAAATCACAAGGATGACCCAGAGCTAGTATTTAAATTCTAGAACTATTGAAGAACAGTTCAGTCCTTGCTCTGATATTTCCTATCCTATCCAGAGTTGAAAGTGCCAAGGATAAAGTCACTTAGCCTTGTGTAATACATAAGGGAAGCAACATGGGGAAGTACTGAGTGAGAAAGCCTGGGCAAAGATACATATCTACCAGAAGCAATCTAGCAATTCTTCTCCTCTTAAGCCAGACTTCCTTCAAAGCTGTGAGTAAAAGAAACAGCAAGCTGGATACTTAAAAACTTCTAAACATAGCAACGCTGCTTCATTTTTTATGTCTTTCATTTGCTGGGGCTTTGCACCTTACCTCCAACCTCCCCACTGTGAAGCCCTCTGTCAAGTAAAACCTGTTTGCCATTTGTGTGTGCTAGTGCCCTTAGACCCAAACCCAGACAACAGTTTAGAGTAAACAGACCTACCCAGGGAGGAGCTGGAATTTGAACAGCAAATCATATGTGTCCCAAACAATTACTCCCTCTCCAGGTGAGGTAACGCAGCAATGTTTCTGGTGTCTAAGCAAATTTCTCTGCAGAGTAGGAAAGAAAGGAGATGGGGCTTTTTTCATCACGAGCAGGGCAGTGCCTCTAAGGGATTCATCAACAAAAAAATTTGCTTAGCTAACTAGTCTGCTCCTTTTGCTTGTCTACTGCTGATTTGTTCAGCTATTATTTTAAGAACAAGTGGTTATGTACGTACATCCTGGAACCACCCTCTTAGCTCAGTGATCGTGTCTAAATTGTTCTGCTGAGTATCTTACACAAAACTTGCATAAGTAATGTATTCTGCTCCAAGTGAGCTTGGCTGCTGTTGTTAATGAGGAGCATCACATGGTGAACTTCCCATACTGCAGAATGCCTCAAACACCAGTGCTTGACACAGGGCTCATCATTCTTTAGTACAATGCTGACCTTTCAAAGAAGATTAAACCTAGGCAAGCAAATGAAAAGACTGAGCAAGCTGAGACCTGGCAACAAAACCAAACACCAGCACAAAGGAATCACAATGGGGATAGAAAAGGGTAGGAATAAGGAAGAGAGGTAATCACTCTCCATCTGAGAGAAGGAATCAGAGAGCCCTCAGCGTGGACGGGTGTGAGTACAGAATGTTAAGATCACCTCTCTCCATCTCCCCTTCTCACCGCAACCTCCAGTTTAAGGAATGCTCACATTCAGATCTGCAAGCTATCCTGCTACATATGCATGCTGTAATTACTCTGAGTAGTCCACTCATCTCTTGATCATTTGAAATGTAAATGACAAGACTCAGATAAAGGCTACTTATTTGTGGGTAGAGCATATCCCATGCAAGTCCTGTACATCCTGCTCCCCATGGGAAAATATCTCCCTTTTACTTTGACTTAGAGTATTTGGAGACAGGACAGGGTGCTGGTCGCCAAGGCAGGTGAGCTGCAAAATTATTGTGGAGGAGTTATCAATGCCTGGCTGTAAATCAGATGGGAAACTTCAGAGAGATCTACTGAAACATAAGTATTGCTCATGATTTAATCTTTTCTCTCTCTTTTTCCAAAGTCCAGGGATTCAGGCTTTGTATGCACAGACAAGCAAGATAACATGCACAAAATAAATAGCCCACATTTGTCACACATATCCTGTTATTCATAAATGAGAAATTCTCACAAATTAAGACAGACACAAGATTGATACCAGTCAACAATGCTTTGATAATCTAATATGCATAGTTTTCTGTATTAGACAGTAATTAAAGTATTAGCTGCAAACATACACTAAAGCTATAACAAAAGATAGCCACAAGGACTAAGTTTGGTTTAAAAAAAAAAAAAAAAAAAAAAAAAAACACCAAACCAACGCAAAACTAAGAGGTTGGGAAATACACTAATGAACGTAGATGGTGCAACCATCATTTGCCTTCCTTGTCATTATGATGTAGTCCCTATTATGTGATTACACGCTGTTTTAGCCTGGACTCCTGCCTCATTCAGTGCATAATTGCAATGAAAATGAAGGTAAATGTTTTAACGCTAAATATTTTAGAAACTTTATCTAGTAGTCATTACAGCTTTACTTATGAGACGTGACATATGTTTCTGCCTACACTGAAACACAGCTAAAGCTCAAAAGCATATGTTAAGCACCAATAATTTTATTCAGTGTGATCAGTCTGGTTATGTAATATCAATCTAGCTTGAGTGATGAGTGAACTTTGGATCCACAATCAGCTTTGTTGTTGGCAGGCATTACGCTCTGTTGTGACCTGTTTTTAACCACACCTACAATCACACAGCAAACTAAAGGTAACTCCTGAGATGGTCTTTTATCTTTAATCACTTCCTGTTCACACTTCATTCTGCCAACACCTCCTGTCAGGATTATTGCTGTTTATTTCCCATGAATATCTAAGAATATCATTCATCCTGGTAATAAATGTTTCCATGCAGTGAGGTATGCTATAGAAGTGACCTGCAGTATTTCCTAAAAGGTTACTTGACTGACATCTTATTTGGGAAAGTAAACAGGAAGACCTACATTGTCCGTCATAAAAAGCAACAGTATTAGGCTGGCAGAAATCACCAAAGTAGTTATGCCAGTGTAGTTCTCTAGAAATGAAAGTCAAACACAGATGAAATCTAGCAGCACCAGTATTATGGGTCTGATCTTGAAAGTTCTTAGTCATGTTGAGTTGTTTCCTCTTACAAATACTCAGATGAGCCACAGTTGCAGATTTAAGATAAACTGTGCTGGTTGTTAATGATGCAGATCCCAGATGTCTAAGAGATGCTGGTTTTACTGAGTTCATGGGCCCTGACTGCCCAGCACAACAATGGAGTCTTGCCACAGCCTCCTAGAAGTCAACAATGCCCTTCACCAGCTATACCTAATAATGCCTAACCAGTCAGCCTACTTTAAAGACAACGCTGAAGAGCCCAGTAACTAAATACTCTCTCATGAGGACCTGCAGATGTCAGCAGTGGTAAGTCCCGTCCTCCTTGCTATGCCACATCCCACAGTGCTAACCAACAGAACTGATGGAAATCACTTTCTAGAATTTCTATGGGAGGCCATGCGGAAAACCCATATCAGGGTATTTATCTGAAAACTGTTTTTTACTGCAGATGCAAATGATGCAAAAATAAAGGCACATTAAGTGTACCTGTCAGAATGTTGGTCCAGTATAAGGACAAAATATCAATTTCTTGCACTAGTTATTAATCAGCTGTGGAACACATTGCCACAGGATACTGCAGAAATCAAGACTAAACCAGTTCAAAAGCAATTGCACAAAACCACCTAAGAGTGATCCACCAAGGGCTACAAACTACCTTTGTCTCAGGATTGCAAGAGACAAGTGACAACTGAGCAAACAAAAAAAAAATCATCACTAAGTCTGCCTGCTCTTTTAGCTTGTTCCTAACCACTGACAGAGGCAGAATTACAGGAACTGTTCTTGTATTTATATTATTGCACTCTCCCTCAATTAGGTACAGATTTCCATTTGAAGCTCAGCTTTCTGCTACTCTTGATATCACACCTGTGTCTGTTAAGGCAGGTACAGCTGTGACAACCTCAACTGGCAACCTCTATAAAGGACTGCCAACAAAGAGCAGCGAAAATGACGGATACTGAATGCAATAGAGCTTGTAAGTCTCTATGTTCCACCCCGCTTGTCATCTGTGTTGGCCCCTCAGAGTCTAACCACTGAGAATTATTCTGCATCTTCCATTTTCGTATACTGCGTCTCTCTCATTCTCTCAAGTCATAGACTCACCTCAGATAAGACTCCTCTACTATCCAGGGTGGAAAAAAAGTCACGCTTCAGTCTTACAGCAGTCATCATCACTTTCCATTGTTCTTTTTTCCCTCTTCTATTGAAAAACATGCTGCTTTACATTCATTATTAGATGAACTGTTATTCACTGCTGCTTGGAGCTTCCCGTACTGTTCTTAAATACTTTCATAACTAAAGACTTCTCTGCCTGAGTCAACTGAAAACTGCTGAAAATGTCAAGTATTTCAAAACTAACTACTGCCAGAAATAGTCACACTACTTTCAGACAATCTTACTTCTGGCAGGACCCCTTGAATGCAGAAAGTAAAGCGTGTTTGAAATCTCCATCCAGCCTGTCTACTCCTCGGCATTTGATAACACCAGTTTCTGCATAACTCGATAATCAGTTGAAACTATACCTTTAAGAGGCTTTCAAAGGGCCAGTCTTCTCCCTGTAACATTTGTACACATACTGACCACATTCTGTCTTCTGCAAAAACATACTTGGCACTTACTTTCTCAGGGCATGCTTACATTACACACACTAATACATGTGTTTGCTTCAGAGGTCCACTTGTTGGCCTTGAAAACCAAGAGAAAGATTAATGACCAAAGAGAAGGATCTTGTCCCTATTTGAGCAGGGAGTTGGACCACATGACTTCCAAAGGTCCCTTCCGATCTCAAACATGCTTCGATTCTGTGTAGGTGTTTGGTTGCTTGTGTGAACAAGAGGGAATGACAGATATACAAAAAGGTGATAACCTCTAAAATTCTTGCAGGTACAATCTAATCTACAGATATTATTTCAATCACGACACAAATACAACCACTCATGGACAGAAAACAATGTTGGTTGGAAGAATCAAAGTAATATTACAACCTATGTAAAAGGAAAATGTTTCCAGTATTAGCAAGCTGGGAGGCCTAATCGAAGTATCAGGCTGAAATCTGGGCCTCTTTGACCCATCCAGTTCACCTTGCACAGTCAAGACAGCAAAGCACTCCACCAAATCAAAAAAACCCTGAAACTGCTAAGCATAGCAGAAAACACTTCAAAATTATCTTCCATATGCTTTTTGACCAACAGCTACAAGTGACAATACAGCTGTTATGCATACGCATTTATTAAGTTCATATTAAAAACAAAACAGAACGCCTTATGTTCCTTCCACTTTGACATTTCACTTTGACTTTCCACGTATGTAAGAAATAAGAAGAGCCACATGAAATGATGAAATAAAGTCCTGTTCCATTGACTGAATGTATTCATCACAAACCTTAGGGACCTTCAGGTTCCACTCAACCCAATTTAATATCTCTTCTGTGCTTGACACTATTGATCCTCCTATCTCTTCATCTATAAATTAGGACAGCTGTCCTCACGGATGAGCGACCAAGCATGCTTAGCTTCTCCTTTATAACTAAAATCTTAAGCAGCAGTTCTGAGGTAACTTCATGATTGTAAATCAGTATTTTTTTAATTACAAGTCTAAACACAATCTAAAGATCGCACATTCCCTATTTGCTTTTATTTTCACATATCAGATGGGTGACACTGCATTCTTTTTATATCACTATCAACCTCCTGAATCTTCTGGATTGCTGCTGAAGGAAACAGCTACCT